CCACCTAGATCTGCCAACGAGCAGGTAAATGGCTCCATTTTATACATATTTATGTTCAGCAAAGGTCTCACACCTGAACTAATCTCTTCTGAGGCTGCCAGACACCATCATCTTTGGAAAGAGCCTTACAGAGTGCAGCAGCAAGTGCTGGCATCTCGGCAGGCTTCACACGGCGCTCTTCAGGCCAAATAAGGAATTTGTCTTTAAAGAATCTCTCTGCAAAAGAATTCAGGTCAAGAAGTCTATAGAAAACATTTCATTCCTCATTACTACTGCTCTGACTATGCACACAGAGCACTGCTCAAAGAATTACAATGGTGTTGTCCCTATTTACACAAACGGGACTTTGTATCTGAGAAGGAAGCCGTGAGGAACGTGGTGGAGATGAAGAGTGATACAGGAGGGCGGACATGGTGGGCAGGTGATCCTGGAGGGCACACAGGAACCCAGGCTCTGCCCAGGGCCAGGCAGCACCTACCCAAACCATGCCGGGGCTACGACCCTGACGCTCCAGCTGGCTGCAGGGAGCCCTGAATCGCAGGGATTTGCCACCCTGTTTCTTCTCGAGAGACCTGCAACTTCTGCGCTGGATTTGCAGCAATACTGAGGGAAACCATTACTCACATTCCTTACAATGCTCAGAGTCCCGAGGCAGTTTTGCAAATCCCACCACACGTGTGTTCCCTTGGCTGCTGCAGTCTCGGTGGAGAGCATCTAAACAGTGACATTAGCACCAGAACAAACCCTTGTGGATTAGGTCCCAGTGCGGAGAAGCCCTTATCCAACTGTAGTAATATGGGAATTAGGGAAGAGAAAAGCATGCTGCAACATGGACAGGACATACAATGCTGCTTTTTCTCTAATTAAAAGTCATTTTAATGATGTTACTAGGGGTATTTGAGTATCTCACTCTCTCCTCAGCAGTATGATACCCTATCAATTTAGCCTCCTCTAAGGTTGTCCGGATGCCTTGGGATTTGATTCCACTGAAAAACTGCCCCATACGGAGCCACCAGCACAACTCCAGCTCCCTACAAGGCCAATGGGACAGAAGTGCAGAACTTCACTTATAATTCCTGCACTAAATCCAAGAAACTTCTCTGATAATGCAAGCCATTTTAAATTCATAGCCGTCGGGATGTACAACGCACAACATGCCTTGCTGGACTGTTCCAATAAAATCTGCCATCCTTTCGCAATGTCATCTTTGTTTCTCCTGACTTCACTTACCTTCATGTTACACTCTTCACTCCTGCATTGCCTGGGGGCATCTGCACCCCCTATTCTGGGGTAAGATGAAGATACCTGAAGTGACACTGGGGTAGGAGGCACTAGTGCCCCCATATCCCAGACAGCCGAGGCACCTTGCAGGGTAGAGACCCTGGCTTTGGCTGGGCTCTGCCGAGTGCTCCAGGGTTGTCTCGGTCACAGGTCCAGTCCCTACATGGTTCATCTCCCAGGCTGTGCCCATGAAGCTCACCCGCCAGGTGAGCACGTAAAGCAAGAGCCTCCCTGCAGCCTGGAAGGCTGCATGGACACGTTCTGCTCTCCCGGAGCGTGGATCGGCCCATCCGCCCGCGCGTGCGCAGCCCACACCGCCGGCCCTCCCGTGGGCGGTACAGCCACATTTGTGCCTCCGAGTTACTGCTTCTGCATTTGCTCACCTCAGCTGCTCACGGTGGCTCCTCCAGAGCTGCCAGTCTGCAAAAGGAGCCACCACATCCATGACTGAGAGCTTCAAGGAATGTGTTTTCCTTAGGAACATGGATTATTGCCTGTGCACATCAAGCTCAAGGGTGCCAGTGTGACACAGCAGTAAGAGTGGAGCAGCGCTTTCAAAATGCTCTGTTCCAGAACATGCTTTCTTTCCCTTTTCCTTTTGAATAGGGAGAAAGCCATTCTTTGCTACACACAGCCCGGCTCACTCATCAAGTCAGAGCAGAAAACACTTAGCAAGTCATCTCCCCAACCCCGATGTTGGCACAATGTGATTTCATCCCCTCTGCCTGCTCAGCATTTCATCCAGCCCAGTTAAAATGGCAGGAATGAGGGTTCTGTTTCCTTCCCAGCTTTCCGCTAACATCCACCAAGCCCTGGAGGTGTGTGACCTCCCAGCAGCACTCCCCAAACACCCTGCTCCCAAAGCCGGGGAAATAGGTCGTAATTTGTTTCTCCACATGATGTCCTTTCCTACCTCACCCTTTTTCTCAGATCATTTGTCAAGGGTTCACCCGATCTCTTCTTATTAGTTACAGGGGCTACAACAAGACGGAACAGGAATGTTTGACCAAGCATATAATGTCATGAGTCATGGGTTTAATTTAGTCCCTCCAGAATCTCAATGTGACCTTGAAACCCCTGGCACAACAGAGCGGGGCCGGGTGTCGGCGCAGGGCGCCCCACGCAGCGCCGCGGCCCCGCGGGGGCCCCCGCGCCCCACGAGCCCCATCGCGGGGGGGGGCCACGAGACGTGTCCGCGTGGGGGCAGCTCCCCGCGGGGCCGGGCGGGGCGGGCGCGGGCAGGGCAGGGGGGCGGCGCGGAGCTGCCCCGGGCCCCGCAGGCTCCTCCCCGGCCCCGGCAGTGCCGGCGCGGTGCCCGGCAGCGCGGAGGGGCGCGGGGCGGGCGGACACGGGCGCACGCAGCGCCGCGTCCCCAGCAGCGCGCGGCAGGTGCCCCGGTGCGCGCGGCGGCGGCCGGCGAGCCCCGAAGGCGGCCGCAGGGGATGGCAACGTGAGCGCGGGCACGGAGCGGATCTGCGGGCGCCGAGCTCCCGCCGGGCAGGTGAGTGGCCTCCCCGCGCTCCGGTCCCCCCGCGCGGGTCCCGGTGCGGGGCAGCGCGGGGCTGCGTGCGGCGGGCACAGCGAGCCCCGCTCCGCGCCGCCGCCCCGCGCAGGGCGCGCCGACAACCAACAGGTTAATCCAGAGCGAGGTGCTTCAGATGCAGGGATATTTTTAGGACGGTGCCCTTTGGGGAAACGAAGGGAGTGTGCTAATAGTGCAAAGTATGTGTTGATATTTGGAGTAACAACAATGCAGAAATTAAAGGGAATTAAGAAAGACATCAAAAGTCCCGTGCGCGCGGTTAACTCCTGCGGCTCCCTCCCCGCGCCGCCGCGGTGCGAGCTCCAAACACTCCTTCCTTTGGAAGACATTTAGTATGGCCGGATTTCTGAGCTCTTCCTAACCGACCGGCAAGCAGGTAAAGAGCTGCACAAAGGATTATTGTGCTCCGCTTATAAATAATATTTGTTTAGGCAGCCCCCAGAAAGGCTGAACCCATTCGCATTTCTGCCAGTGCCGGGGATGTGCTACTGTTGTTTGCAGCGCGGGCACAAGGTTCTCGTGTTAAACAATTCTTAAAAGTTTGTTTGGCTTGCAAGTGGCCTGTCTGATTTGAAGATGTTGAAAGGAAAACATGACTTCAGCTTTTCTTGTGAGGTTGGAGTATTATTCTCTGCTTCCAAAGTAAATTCCAAAATCGTATTTTGTTGCTGCACAGGGAGGGTGCTTTCTGAGCAGCTTGTGCGTGTGGATGCTCTGGGCTCAGCGCGTGTTATTCCGAGCAAGCCTGCTGAGCATGGGGGCTCGGTCGGCCGTGGACAAGGTCCTTTTGGGATGGATGTGCTTTGGGAGCGCTGAGGGCAGAGGCCCTTGCCGGCAGGAAAGGCACCCCAGGGAGATGCAGCGAGGCTCCCTCTCCCAGGTCCCACAGGATTGTCCTGCTAAGGGATGGGCTATAAAAGGCCTGGGCAACTTGCAGCAATTTCTTTATGGTTTGAATAACAATTCAGTTAGTTTTTCTAAACAGTCCATGTGCTAGTTAATTCTACATGTACGTGTGTAACAAGCACTGCTGTTTGGTGTATCAGTCAACTGAAACTTCTGTACGGTGCTGCTATTAAGTTGAACTCTGAGGAGGTCACATTAGTTTACAAAGCAGATTGTTTATTTTTCCGATAGTAAATCTCTTTTTCACTTTCAGAAACTCCTTGTGAATCCCCTTGCAGGCTGTTCAAATCAAAACCAGCCCTTTCCAATCCTGTAAATTTGGGGGAAGTGTATTTGGGGAAGATAATACTTTTGCAATGATCTCTGATGAACAGTAAAGAGCCTTCATATTTCTTAATTTAGAATCTTATGCCGGCTATTAAAAATAAATGAATTTTGCTTTAGTTAATTATTCTCTCACTTTAGAGTTTTTTCATTATAAAATAATTCATCTTTAGAAAAGCCAGAAAAAAACATAAGCAGAATGGTGCTTGCAGCAAGCACAACACTGTCTCAGACTATGATACATCAGGATGCTCCACGTGCGAGGTTAGGGTAGTAAAGAAGTACAAGAGTGAAGAGGGGGTGCCATTCCCGGTTTGTATTTTCTGATTTCAAGGCAACGAAAGGGTTAATGGTAGGAAAATTAATTACACGCAATGGCAGAACAATAGCCTTCGAGAGATGGGAGGTGAATTCAGTAGTGGTGGAAGCCCATTAGATTCAATGAGGAAGATTCGCATTGACTGCAGCCTGGCCAGCGTTTCTATTGCCGCTTTGTGGGGCTAATGCGCTGGGAATAGCACTGATAATTTTATGTTACACGTTACAACTGACACCTGTGTTTCCTTACGTACATCTAAAAGAGCCGTTCTCCAAGAATATCAAAGTATTTTTCTCAATTAAGAGAACTTTACAGGCTCAGCTTGCTTCCCACCTGCTGAGGAGCAAGATAAGGGCTTTTAGCGTGCAGAGTCTATGTTTCAGCTTTCAAGAATGGGAATGAGGTCTCTTTTCCAAGTATGAAATGATCTAAAGCTAAAGCTGTTTCTGTTGAATGAATGTATCTGATGCAGAGATTTTTTGGTTTGGGCAGTTTCGGGATTCTGTGTGCTAGCTGAAATTGAGTCAGAGAACTTAAGTGTCTTACGGCTCCTAGTTTAAGTTTTGTCTTTTTCTTTTCAACAGCTCCCCATTCTCTACTTTGGAGGCTCCTTTTTTCACTTTTATTGCTAAAGATGAGAAGAAAGTGGAGATTGGAGAACTTTCACTTTATCTTTTTCACTGTGCTCTGTCTCCTTTTCCTAGACGGAGGTAAACTAGAACAAGTAAAACGTAAGTAACTTTCAAACCCTGCTGCCACATTCACTCGCATTTGGAGTTTTCCTTCCATTTAAGAAATCTGTTTTGGAAATGATCTTCAAACAAAGATGTTCCAAGCACTGGGGTGTATGGGATTGCACTGGGAGGCCGTTTGCAGCCTCCGTCTTGCTAATCCTTCGTTTAGGAGGAGCAGGTCACACCCACGATCGGGGTGCGTTTCCCTGAAGTCACGCGGGCTTCATTGCGACCCAGGGAACATAAGACATCAGCTGAAGAATCTGCTTAATTTCAAATGCTCCGAATCAGGAGAGTGCTTAAAGCCAATTTAGTGACCTCTATAAACATCTGACGGATTATCTGGATTTTGTCCCATGTGTAAGACTATTGTGCTGAGGTTTTCAGCTAGCATAAAGCTCTTCCAAGACTGCTCTGTGGTGTTCCAAAAACAACCTCATATGAACTGGATTAGATATATCCTTTGAGAAAATTAAAGGTCTAAGCACTGTCAAAAACTTGATGACATGCATTGAAAAGAACACAAACAGAGCAAAGGGAATATTTCTACAGAGCCTGTCATCCACAGGAGATGTTAACACATTTCAGAAAGCCTGGCAAGGAGGGATAACTACCCACAAAAGTCCGCAGGAGCTCTGCCTGCTGCAGCCTTGTCGGCAGCTATCTGGAAGGCTTTCCCACCTTTGCACGTGGGTCTTGGCTTTCCTGTTGCAGATCATGTTGCCTGAGCTTGAGAAATAGTTAAAAACTTCAGCTTGATGTCAGCAGCTTCTGCTTGTAAGCAGGTAGATGAAAAAGAAAAAAAAAAAAGAAAAAAGAAAGAAAAAAAGAAAGAAAAAAGAAAGAAAAAAGGAGGGGGTGAAGGTGCAGATACGGCCTTCTTACTCGCAAGCAAACACTGTGCAGGTCTCCCTGCTCAGAGAAAGCTGAGTGAGAAATCACCAGCCCGCACTTCAGCCAGCTGTTTTTCCAGACCCTGCATTTCACTTGTCAGACTGTTGTGCATAGTGAAAGCAGAGCACTTCACAGTTGCTACTAGCAATTCCTACCTCTTGCTACTTCCTTTTAGCCCAGGGAATGTTAAACAAGCTCCTTTCCTGGACTATCTCTTGGAAGAGGCAGTTTGCTATTCTGAAATACCATTTATACTGAGGATGGTGAATCAAGCTGAGCTCAGACATGGTTAAGATAGCAGCAAGTACTTCTGTCATGGACATTTTGCCCTAATAAAACCCTTTCTCTTGAAGAGATATGAGGTTCTAATGTGACATTATAATGTGACAGTGAGAGGCAGTAATGTCTGGAAGATAGATGGACTCCTGCAAAATTACATCTGAAAGAAGTGCTTAATGAAAAGCAAGATCTTAAATAATTTGGAAGCTGATGTACTGGGTTGATGTACCCAGCTGAAAGTGTTTTGAAATACTATGACAAGCTTTTATTTGATTGGATTGTTAAAATATGGTGATACTGAATATCAGTGTAAATGCCATGCACCCATCTGCCATTTGTAGTTCTGTCTGCTGTAGTGCTTGGGCTTTTCCCGAGTGGAGGCAGTTGGTTTGGCTTTGCAATGGACAGGTTTAGTTTCCTATGAACCTGTCTGAGTCATTGAAAGCTTTAATTTTGTGACCCAAACAGGATCTGAACCTACATCTTCCACAAGTGAAAGGCCCAACTCCGTCTATATGAAGCTCTTTGGTCAGCTGCTTCAGGAGCTGCATCTTTGGAGAAGATGGGAGGTCACTCTGTTTATTTTAGTTTGGGAAGTTAGAAATAACAGCATTACTGTTACAAAATAAGAGCATCCTAATTATTAAGTGTGATTCTCCAGGGAAAGCAAAAAAGTAATTCTTCACCAAATTTTGCCTCAAACATGGTCTACAGAGAAAGCTGCAGACATAAAACACAGCTATGGAAAGCATGGCAGGGGATCATTTCTTCACGGCTCTTTCAATTCTTCCCTGTTTTACAGATTCAGACACGTACTGTGTGTTTCAAGACAAGAAGTACCGTGTAGGGGAGAGATGGCACCCTTACCTGGAGCCCTACGGCCTTGTTTACTGCGTTAACTGCCTCTGCTCAGAGGTAGGACTCTCTGCTATTGCTCTTACAACTTCTGTCTCTTGTTAACTGGCTAGAAGCCTTTGACTCGTGTCTACCCCAAGGCAGAGCCCAGACTGGTTTGCTCCAGGGTTCTGCTTCATGCCGGGTTTCCCGTAGGTTGTAGGTAATAGAGGCAGGTGATCCTTGCCCAGGGAGAGCAGTAACAGATAAAGCTGATAGTGGCACAAATGCTTGCACAGGATGGACACAAAGGCTCCTTAGCCAGCCACAGGCTCTGCTCTAACAGGCAGAGGAATGGGGAAGGTTATGCAGTGCACCAGTTTGGTTGTGTTTTGATCTAAAGACAGTGCCTATAGCTTCCAAAAGGCATTTCCACACAGGGCATCTCCTGTCTTACTGTGCTGAAGGAGGAGAAATGGGTATCGCCACTTAGAGAAACCTCGGAGAGAGGAATGAGGCAATGAAAAATGAGACAAGGAGGGACACGGAGAGCAGCAGGACTTGGCAGGGACATGAAAGGATGGGCCCTTTTGCTGCCATTAGTTGATGCCTGATGCTAAGACACAGCAGTCACAGACCCCCTAAGCATGTCCTATGCAGCTTGGAGGGGACAGGAAAATGAGGGCAGAATTTGTCCCTTAGAGTACTTTAAAAATGACTAAACAATAAGGGATTTTAATCACTAACATATGAGACACTCCAGATGCTGAATTCTGCCTGCTGTATTTAATGTGAAAGAAAATCTTGGCTATTCTCCCCCTGCAAGTGTAAAATATTGGGCCCCTGTGCAGGATTTGCTCTGAGGGATCTGCTACTACTCTGTTGTGCAGAGATACACAAACAGTAGTCCCACAGCTTGGCTGCATCTCACATCTGTGCACAGAGCATCTGTAGGAGCATAAGAAGAGGAGCAGAGAAGCTTCCCTTTCGAGCTAACAGGAGCTTCCATTCCCATTGTTGATCTGTGTGTGAAAGCCTAAAGCTCGCTCAGAAACAGTGTGTGGTGAAACACTCATCAAACTGCTGGAAGGCTGTGCCGTGGGTGGGGATGAAACTGCTGGAAGCCCCACAGACGTGGACACAAGTCATTGCTCAATGGTTTTCAGGAAGATGCTGGGGAGTCTGGCGGGCTGGACAAGCACATGTATCCACCCCTGGAGAGCAGCACAGTGCCGTGCGGGCTGCCCCGTGCCCCGTGCACTGTGTCCCCACCATGGCAGGACGTAGGTTGTTCCTCTCCTGCTCACACGGACATGGAAGACCAGAGTGGCAGTGGAGGGCAGCGAGGGGAGCTAAGGTGGAAGCTCTGCTTGTTCCCCAGCTCTGGGCTCCACCTGTCACTCACGGTTTTACCTCTCGTGCAGCGATGGGGTAAGACGCAGCTAGGAGACACTGGGCAAGTGCAGGAGTGGGATTGTTGTGCTGCCTGGGAGGAAGCCCCAAGGGGCATCTGCAGCATCCAGTTCCAGCCTTTCTTTGAGCTTTGTCTGGGACAAGAGAAATGCCACCAGAGCACTGGTCTGCAGTGAGAACTCCAGATCAGCAGTAACTCTCAGTTGTTATTGATTTAAATAAATTAACGCTATATAAGGCATTAGGTAACATCCCATGGCCACAGGTACAGACCTTATTACATTACAGCATAAAGAAGGAAAACAGACTTTTCCACAGGCGGTGACCAAGAGAGCTGAATGTCACCCACTGTGACCTCCTGGCAGGACACCAGCTACAGTGCAGGACACCAGCTACCAGTGCAGAGGACGTGCACTGAGTCTGCACCAGCATCCTTACCCTTACCCTGCATACTTACCCTGCACAGAAAAGCAAACACATCCCCAGGGATGTGTTTGCCCTGGGATGTGTCAGCCCTGGGAGCAGCACGAGCTCTCTCGAGCCCCCTTATTCAGAACAGCCCAGTGCAGGTATCGGAAGCAGAGATGCTGACCAGGGATCTGACTCACTGGGGCATCTTGGAGCTTATGTCCCACTCGAGTCACCAGGACTCAGTTTCCCAAATTCCTCAGTGAACCTCAGCATGAGCCCTGTTAAGCACAAGCCCATGGCAGGACCAGTAAGGAAAAGGGGAGGGAGGCCCTGGTGCAAGAAGCCCTGGGCCCAAGGCCAGCAGAGTCACCAGCCTCCTCTGGGCTCTAGTGTTTAGAGGTGCCCTGTAGTCACTCTTGCCCAGCAAGTCACCAGCCCCTGCTCCATAAAATCCATATATTTCATTTCAGTCCTTATATCAGAAAGAGATGCCAATATTACTTTCAGAGCCCCTTTCAGAGATGCACAGACATAATCTGTGGCTAGTAGTAATCTGCCAACAGAGTGATTCTAGCCTCTAGTCAGCAAACATTTGAAAGACATTTAGGTGGCTAGAAAAGCTGACACAAAATCTGAGCCTGGAGCTCCCTGGAACCATCTCGGTGCTCCAGAGGGTGTAGGAAAATGAAGTGGCCTCATTTCTAACGCCACCCAAATGACAGTCAGAGCATAGGATCAGTGTCCATGCTGACAGATCTTTTTTGCTATAAACATGAACAACTCAGAACTAATTTAGGAGGACGAATTATAGATGGGAAATGGGAATCTGAAATGGATGGTCTTTTCTAGTTACAGACACTGGAGACTGAAAATTTCCTGTATTTTAATTATAAACAAAACTTAGATGTGGTCAGATAGAAGATTATATTAATGACATGAGTAATGAACACTATTCTCAAGACTTTCTCATATTTCTTAGAAAAATGGCTACTTCCCAACTGGTGTTCTTTGTGTACCAGGGAGCCCATCACAAGAAAACAAAAGACACTCCACAGTTTTCAGGAAAAAATACAGACACTATTGTCTCTTGCAGGCTTGAACTAACCCTCAGTAGGGTTACTATTCACTATCACTCTCTTAGCTCTGCTAAAGCAATTCTTCAACGTAAATCTGCTCTACAGAAAACAAAAATGAAGATTGTTGAAATCCATTTTTAAGCACTTCCTATCATTCTAATGGTTGTATGAGTTTATTGCAACCTTATGACCTGCAGTATAAATCCAGGGGCAGTGGAAGTAGGCTGTGCTTACTGCAGTGTGAGTGAAATCAGAATGTTGTTAAAGAAAAAAAAATGTTTTACAAATATCTTGCTGTAGAAGAGAGAGCACAGAAACCTGCAAGTTGGCCCATCCCATTAAAACACTTTTTTTTTGTTCCACCTGCAGAATGGAAACGTGCTGTGCAGCAGGATACGATGCCCAAGCCTACACTGTCCTTCTCCCGTGCACGTACCCCAGCTGTGCTGCCCCCGATGCCCAGGTAATTTATATTAATGACGCACGGCGCTTTCTGCAACAGCTCTTTACTGTGCTGAGTAGCAGCAATTGTGAAATGTCTGTGCTAGAAAACTGAGAAGTAAATGTCCTTCTGTACCCACACAGTTCAAGAGGGAGGCTTGTTCTAGAGTAAGATACAGTATTTTCTATGGAAGCTTCTTTTCAGAAAATCAGAAGCGTAGGTTTTGGGAGGGATCAACTAAGCTGCTAAGCCCAGACCCTTCCAAGCAGGCAGAAGGCAGCAGTTCATTCCCGGAGCACGAGGTGCATCCTCTCAACTCCACGCAATAAACACCCGGTCCCACAGCCCTCTGACAGTGCCTGCTTGGTGCTTTCCATAGGAGCAGGCTGAAATACATTGTTGCTTGCAATGGTTCTCTGTTAATACGTCATTTGGAATTGCTGTGGCAAATGCACACGTGTATGGTATCACTGTGCAAGCAGCCTGGTAACATTTGCCTTCTACGTCTCGTACCCAGGCATAGCTTCATAATTACTAGGCACTGCTGTAAATCACAGAAGCAGTGCTGTGGAAGTTTATGACTATATAAATCCAATTGGATACTGTATAGTAAATTTCTCCAGACTGTACATTTATTATATGCTCATTATTAAGAACCAGTGTATGAATGCGACTGGGCAGGATCTTTCATGAGGCTGTTCCAACATTCCTGACATGGCCTAATGGCTGCTACATCTGACTGGGGCTTTTCCCTAAATGTCTCTCTTAGTGGCACCCCTCATTTCCATGTATAAAAGGTTATTCATGCAGCATTATGGAAAGGGGTTTATTTGACTCAGTCCAGAGAGAGTGTCATTGTCTAAGGAAAACAGCTGTTTCCTGACCCTAACCTGTGAGCAGAGGGTGGAGGGACCCGTTAGCTGCTCAGCAGGGAGAAGAGCAGCCCTGTTGCTCTCACTGCAGTGTAGCTGGAACCCACTGACCAATTTTTGGTAGGATTCATCAATCCAGATATTGCTGTTTGCATCTGCAGAGATGAATCCCTGCTGTTTTGGACACAGACACCTGTGTTGTTGATGTCTATAGCTGAGGGAGAGGAGTCCCATCCTTCCCGCAGCGTGTTCCTGCCTCGTCCCAGAGTACGAAGAGCACATGTATTATGTATACCATAAGATAGTAACAGCTGGTTGTAACAGAATGACAGTTATCATCGAAGGGATGTGGCAGCTTCCCAAACTTACATGATTAATTCCTGCTCATCAGGGTTTCCTCCAAGACATTTCCTAGGGCTTTGTCTTTTCTATCTTGTATAGTAAACAGTGCTACTTTGCATAAACCTCTGTATATTCAAGGAAAGCAACCTGATTCAATTCACAGATAAAAATGCATCATAATTACTGTCACTGTATCTTAATAGCTTTCTGATCACAAGGCATCTCTCTGGTGACTGTTGAGGAAGCCCAGGCAAAAAGCTTGTGCTAGATACTTACTTTTTTTGACAGCTAAAGCTAAAAAAGAGAGATCCCATTCTTGTATGTAACTGGCATTTGGGACAGGAAGTCCCAAGGAAGTGGGTTTTTTTTTTTTTTAATATCTTTGTTCAGTATTTAGTACATAATCATAAATGCTTCTAGACTGATTGTATCTGATTGAAGTGCTTTTTGGTAGTGAACTCTGGCTTCTCTCAGTACGTCTGGCTGTGAGTGTGCTGACACCAATGGAGAACCTAAAGCCTTCTGCAGTATCCTAGGGAGAGAAAGGGCCCCAGTAAACTCTCCAATATCTCTTATCAAATAAAGTTCTTGTTATTCAGAGAGTCTTCAGCAAGCATTATATACTGTGTTTTTAAACTAACAAGTCCTGAAAAATATCAGCATGAGCCTTTCCTGAATTGTGATCCATTTACTTCCCTTCACTCCTCCTCAAATCCAGCTGTGGCCTATCTGCCACATATGATGGGCTGTTAAACTGCTGAAGAATGAGTTGGGTATTAGAAAATATGAGTAAGAATGCCCCTAAGCTATATTTTTTTCCCTAATTGAATCTGTGATTCACATATAGATCTGTGCCAATGTTAGGCAAATCACAAGAACCTCCTGTGATTTCCATGGTTATTTGTATTCTGCTTCCTGCAGTGATTACAGACCTTGTATTTGGATGCTCTGTGTTCAGTGCTGATGTTCATGCCTGACCTGGACAGGATCTCCATCATTACTCTTGCACATCCCATTCCACTTTTCTGTTTCCATGTGTCTGACATACAATGTATTTTGTGCAGCATCCCAGGATACACAGGAATTTCACCTCTCAGGTTCCTCAGGTTGTTTTTTAGTGGAAGATGCTTAAGCTCTGGCCATTATCCATAGATATGAATCACTCTCATAAATGCTCATTAGTCTGAAACAGTACATTTGTCCTGGTTCCCCAGGTGCTTTTCAGCAATGAGCGGTGCTAGTCGCAGTGACCTCTGGCTCTTCCTCCTGACTTTCTGCAGGCCTTGTAGAATGTAACTGCCCAAGTAAGTGCCTCCTTATTTAATGAAGCAGGGGTGATGCCAGGAGGCAGCAACTTTCATTGGAAACTGAACTTCATAACCACCTAAGTGCAGGAGCCGTTGAAGGGATTCCTTTGAGAAAAGTTGGCATTGCTCCCCCCTTGGAATTAATGTCTCCCGCATCCGTGGTGACATTGGTCTTGCTGGCACAAAGAAATGTAGTGTTTGTATTCTGTCCCCCTGGCACCAGCCACCATGAATCCTAAATACTTGTCAGATCTATATTATGAAGTGTCTTCCACTTTTTGCCAGTGGTTTGTCCTACCAGCTTCTACCGGATTCATTGCTAGTTTCTTCATAGCTTGTTGAAACTTGAAACTTATTTTTCATAGTTTGGGCAAAATCCAGACCTTGCATGCTCCACTGAACTAAATATTCCTGTGAAAATTATTTTGCTTTATTATCTCAATTAAGATTCTTATAATCACACACAAGACCAACAAAACTAGCTCCTCATCTCATTGGGACTCTTTCTGCCCTTCTTGGTGAGCCCCAGCTGGATGTCAGATGCTCTGGTGCCCCTTCTGGCAGTCTGTGCTCAGATATGCTAAGCTGGGCGAAGAGTTATCACCTGAGCTGGAACTAGAACCTCACACTGCAGCACAGCCTCGGAGCTGGAACTGCCTTCTCCCACCTCAGGATACTCCAGGCAGCCCTAGGCAGAGATGATCTATAGAGTGAGGGAATAATTCACTGCCCTTCTTAGAGCTGGATTAGCTCAGGTGCTGCCAAGAGGACTTCAGACCTGCTACCTCCTGTCATGAAAATAAGTTTAATATACAATTTCTTAAAGCATCTTTATGGCACTATATGGACAGTGCTTTTACAAACAGAACACTTATGCTGAACTGTACAGATGCTACACTGATTGTCACTGGAAGCACGTGGAACTCTTTTTTAAGAACTGAATTTTTGAATACACTGCGGAATATATAAATACAAGATGGAGCAAGCTTGCACCAGAAATAAAGATGCACAGTGCAGGATTTAGACAGGGTTTCCATACTGCATTTCCTGGTTTGATTTCTCAGTGGATTAGACTGCAAGCTGATGTATGAATCAGCCCATCTGGGTCCAGTATTTTTTAAGCTTGCTGCCATGACTGAACATACTTGCTTCCATGAACATTCATGATTAATAGCATATTTATGTCTAGGCTTCTACAGTACTATGATTTTTCAGTCTATATTGAAACCAAACTACTTTCTGATGTAATTTTCATTGTTCCTTAGATATTGAAATAACAGCAAAATGCTGAGTGGTACATATAGAAACACTTTAATATTGTTTTTCATAGAACATTGTCTATAGTTTCGGAAGCAGCAGGATTATCTGTCAGATAATATAAAAACAGTCAGACCCCTGGAAATCTTGACCCCTTAAAACCTTAATGCATGTTTCTGTATGAACTGATCATCCAGAGAATAATACCTATTTTCCTTATCCGAGGAATACCTCTCTGAAATCCATAACCACCTTGCTAGCGAGTCCTACTAGGATTGCTCTCCTGACACTAAGGAATAGACAACTGGCAGTTGAATAAGAGAATATTGACAGAATTAGGAGTTTGGAGCTATAGGCACATCTCACTTTCTGGAAAACCTGGCCACATTCTCAGCATTCTGGCCCTTTGTGACATGGTTGGCATCAGCCTCATTTCATGGAAGAAATGGTGCATGCTCAGCTCCCCTCCAATGTCCATCACTATCTTATCTTGTTGCTATCTGTCCAATATGCATCAAGGAAATATGTACCTGCACATGTGGAGGGCAGGATTAGAAGGTCAAGTCTTCGGATTGATGTGATGTCTTGCTTAGAATTTTTCCAAGGCAACTGTTTCATCAGAGCTTCAAAGATATCCCAGATAGGATTCAAAATGTACTAAAACTTCTTTCAATTTGCTTCCTTGGCTAGGAGAGTGATTGACAGATTCATATAATGCTTCAATCTTACACTAGGAATTAAAACAGAGCAACCTAGAAAGTATTTTATAACTACTTCAGAGTTTTGCCCCTTTTTTAATGCCACTATAAAAAAAAACACAGGAAATCAAGCTGCAGAAAATATATTAAAATAATGTGAAGAGCCTGTCTTTAGCCCTAGAAAGCTAAAAAAAAACCCTACAACCAACAACCTTCTGAGTGTTTAAACTAAAACTACATCTTTGGCTCGAATCTGTAAGAAGTTCATACTGCCTAGACAAGGTGCTACTAGCTCCTTCAAGCAGTGAGTTTCATCTACTTTCTACCATCTGATTGTATTAAAGACTAGTCGTGCTTAACTCTGCTTAACTTACATTGCAGTTTTTGGAGCTTAACCTTGTTCTTGAAGTTATTTTAAATGTAAGGAATTTTGTGCCCTAGTATCATTGACACCTGCATCTCTGCGAGGCACATATGGATTTTGTTTAGGACTTGTGTTTGCAGTTTTTGGACAGCACAGTTTTTCAATCCAAATTGATCATCAG